GGTGACCTCTGAGGGAAGCAAGGGATTGTGATCAGGGAGGATGTGGGGTGAGAGGTGCACATCTGTGATGCTGGCACCATCCTATTTCCTGATCTGAATGACGACGACATTGTTTAACCTGCACATGTCTGAGCTGTGTCTGTCAGTGGTATCCTGGGGCCAGCTGTACTGATTTGTGAGGACGGATTTCCACTTTCCAGGAATGGGGGGGCATCACAGTGATATCACATTGGTAGCTTGAAATTGGCCAGAAACAGACAACTGCTACAAACAATCTTTTTCTGGAGAGCCCGTAGTTAAACATTTCCCAACACATCACAGCTCCTCTGCGTATATGGTATTAATTAACATTTTAATTACTATGGTTCACTGTTTTTAATTATGAAAAATATACATAGAATATCAATTTTACCATCTCAACCATTTTTCTGTGCTCAGTTCAGTGTCATTAACATTATTCACATTATTGTGCAACCATCACCACCATCCATCTCCAGAACTGTTTTCATCGTGCAAAACTGAAACTCTACCCGCATGTATATTTTTTTAATCTTTTAAAATATTCCCTTGGAGAGCATGGATTCTGGAACCAAATGGCTCTGTTTCCATTTTCACCCCACCCCCACTCACGAGATGATTTGGGGCATCTTATGTCACCACTCTGTGCCTCGGTTTCCTCATCTGCATGTGGGGATGATCTTAGTCCTGCTTTAGTCCAGTGGCTCTCTAAGTGGTTTCTGGACCAGCAGCATTGGCATGGCCTAGACGTCTGTTGCACGTGCAGATTCTGAGACGCTCTGCGTGTGGGCCCAGCGATCTGGGTCTTAACAAGCCCTTCAGAGAGCCAGATGGCTCTGTTTCCATTTTCACCACCACCACCCCCCCCCACTTACGAGATGATTTGGGGCATCTTATGTCACCACTCTGTGCCTCGGTTTCCTCATCTGCATGTGGGGATGATCTTAGTCCTGCTTTAGTCCAGTGGCTCTCTAAGTGGTTTCTGGACCAGC